CTTCAATCGAGCCGCTCGCACGCCTTGTCCTCCTCCCCGCTGTCATGAGCCAGGTGACGCCATGGAAACTCAACAAGGGCGAGTTGGTGGCCGAACTGGGCAAGCTCAACATCATGGTGAACCCTCGCTGGACCGTGCTGGAGCTTCGCCATGTGCTGACACAGGAGTTGAAAGCCAGGAAGTGGCGAGTATGAACCTGTCAGAACTTCGGAGCGAGGCCACCCGCCTGGGGATCTCCTACACCATGAAGGACACAAAGGCCCTGCTCACCCTCCGCATCCGCGACACCACCTGCCCGGACAAGACGTTGATGACACTGGTACGGTTCCAAGGCATCATGTACAAGGACATCCCAAAGGGCTATGCCGATTGGACCGTGCGGGAGATGGAAGCCAATCGGGACAACATACATCCCGACCTCCTTCGCTTTGCGCTCTGGCATCAGGATCGAATGAAGGCCGAAGCCCAAGGCTACTCGTACCAGGGCAAGCGCCTGGATCAATGCGAGGCCGAGGCGACGATTCCTCCGCCACCTGTGTCAGAGACCGGAACCTCGGCGAGTTGGACGGTGACACATGGAGAAGATCTACACCAACAAGTCCCACGGAAGACACCCGGCACTACCAGGCGGAGATCCGAGTTGACTTCGATCGCGACCTCGAGCACCGAGAAGGACCGCATCTCCAAGGACGAGGACGACGACCCAACTCGACCGATCCCCCCGAAGACCCACGGCTCTACCAGGCGCCGCGCCGAGACGACGACTCCCGCAACAACGAGGATGGATCAGGATGTGCCCGAAGTTGTGAAGCGGGAAATTCAGGACCTGGAGACACGCCTGGCACTTCTGCGAGATGCCTCGGGACTCTCCCGAGGACGGTGAATCACCTTGTCTTTGACGGCCAGGACGACGAGTTCTACGACGCCGAGGACGGGGACGACACCGCCCCCACCGTGCTGGGCGACCAGAAGCCCCAGGACCTGCTCAGCCACGTCATTCCAGAGTATGACGAGGCGAACACGCAGGACTTCAATGGCGACCAGACCGAGCTCTATCCCCAGGTGAACCTCCATAACGCGGGCCAGGAGTATGATAAGGCGAACCTCCAGGACTTCAAGGGCGACCAGACCGAGCTCTACCCCCAGGCGAACCCCGACAGCGCGAATCATCACCATGGCAACGGCCATTTTGAAGAGCAGCTTCGTCAGGACTCGTCCTCCCACGACATGCACTACGAGCACCACGTTTCCGAATCTCTTCGGACCATGAATCCTTTTGCGGAGGAGTCACCTGACGACCACCTCAACGCGGAGAACCATGTCAATCCTTTTCTCTCCAACAATGAGGTGAAGAATTCGACGTTCCCTTTGCCATTGCCTGAGGCGTTCATCATGGCAAAGGCCGGACAACTTCTTGAAGAACCTGAACCAGATGATGGGGAGCTGGTCGCCAAGAGACATCTACTTGCTAACCGGCTACAAGTTGACGACCTCGAACGAGTGCTACAAGCACAAAGGCTACCACCTGCCCGAGGTACCCGCAACCGCGCCCATCCTGCTGGGTCATCGCAACGCCATGTCCTCGGCTACTACGCCTATGGCGGCTTCCACGGAGTATGCCGAGACACCGCAAGGCATCCCTGGCTTTGCCGCTTCCTC